ATTTTGAATGTTGCTCTCATAATGTTACAAAACGCTATCGTCTGTTGCATCACTGTTATCAGCGTTATCTTCACTGACTATAATTAGACCAATGGAATTGAATCTTTTCATCGACCCTTCCCCCGAAACGAAATAACTACAGATAATTAAATGATAAAGTTTCTCAATTGTTTTGCTTAACAATTTTACTGCAAACAATTGTATAGAATCTTATATTTTTAGCTTCAAATGAGAATAGTAGTTGGTCTGTTAATTTCATAAGTCACTTCTAATCAAATGTAAGAATTAACTAAAGGAAATTATGAAAAAGGCGATGAAGCCCTTAAATACACTAGTGTTTAAACTCGCTTTTGTTGGCCTCCTCTTCTCAGTATCAGTTTATCAAGAAAGAAAACGTCAGTATTTAGGGAGTACTATTGTTTTTGGAAAGGTATCGTTGACGCTATGACTCGCTCACGGATTTTTTATTTGGAGATTCACATTTGCGTGCCTCCCGCGTGTGCTTTCGATTCTAATTGAATTGACACTTTATCGGGAAAACATAATTATTGGCCACTGAAGGATAACTTATCAGTTTGTTCAAAACTAGACGAGCATTTCGTATATGGGCTCACGGTGTTAAAACAATAGATATGCTCACTATCCATAGTGATTGATATAGAATCCGAGTTAATGTACCCATGGTAATGGGCATATGAACTCAGAGACCAAACTGATTTCTGTGCTGTATCAAACGAATATTACTACTTGCATTGCATTAATTCTTACCGTTTTAAATGAATGCAGTCCAGGCATTCTTGCACAATGCAAGATGTATGTAATTGAGGTGAAGATAAGATAGCATATATTACAATCACCTTGCGTAGAGATTTGTCTTATTGCAAAATACTATGAGTTAAAATGATAAACGCTTATCAAATTTACGGTAAAATCTTTTCACATGACCAGATTTAGTGTTTACCATAGTTATTTCGCTTCCAGGAACGAAAACCTTGTATGACGTGGCACTGATTGCTGGAATTAAACGAGCAACGAATGTGTGAAACCCAATCGAGAGGGAAGGTGGCCAAGGAAAATGGAAAAAAAGGGCCGTTGTTTTCTATATTTTATATCTCTGAAATCAGGAGAACGTTCTCAAGTCTCTCTTACACTCGCTTCTCTCCTCCCCCTCTTATCTTTCCTCCCTCTCTCTCTTTCCCTTTTGACCTTTCTGTTCCTCCAATCTCTGACTTTTACCTTCTGTCATCCTTCCCTTTCCACTCCCCCCCTTCAGTTTTTTCAGGTTCTTAAATGAACTCTAGAGTAATTGCTATTAGACACGCAGTTATTTCTGGTTAATGAACAGTTTAAATAAAAAGCATAATTGCGTCTGCAGATTGCATGCTCCTTGACATTTAGAGACTCCTTTCTTTACGCCATACTGTTACTGGTTCAAGCTAGTTCATGATGTCGTATTTTAATGTTACATAACGAATTACGGCATTTTATGTCTAGAAATAAGATAACTTAGTTTATCATCCTATTACCCCGGCGAATTGCACAGGCGGATCGTGACATCGTATTGTATGCCCACATTTAGAACACAACATAATCATATCTTCTTGTACATCAGATAGGGTCAGATAGTTACATAGTTTGAACGATTATATTACATAGTACAAATTGAAATTTCGCGTGCATTAACCTTAGATTTTCACCTGTTTTGAAGGCTGACAATACAATAATCTAACTTCTATAACGTCTGCCTGACTCTTCAGCAGAAACGTATAGATACTTGGAAAACAGCAATCGAAATTGTTATTACTGTACATTTACATCAATATTTTTTACATAATATAACGCTTATTTGAGACACCTTTCAGTAAAATGTATTCAGTTAATGCTGATAAGTGCAGTTCACATTGTTACTGCTGTTATTGTATTTATAGTGACACGTCCTGACTTTCCCTTCACGAACGGCTGCCGCAAACCGCCCATACCCCCCCCCCACCCCCACCCCGCCCGGGCGCTCACTTGCGTAATCCCACTCGCCAAAACTCAACAGCCAAGTAAACGAAAGTGAGAGTATATATATGTTTCTATATATATATATATATATATATATGTGTGTGTGTGTGTGTGTGTGTGTGTGTGTGTGTGTGTGTGTGTGTGTGTGTGTGTATATATGATGTATATCTATCTATATATATAATGAATATCCATATGTATATCTTTATACATAATATATATATACATGTATATATGTATATATATATATATATATATATATATATATATATATATATATATATATATATATATATATATATATATATATTCACACAAACATACATGCATAAACACACATATTCATATATATATATAGAGATAGATAGATAGATAGATAGATATTCATACAAACATACATACATACATACACACACATATTCATATATATATATATATATATATATATATATATATATATATATATATATATATATATATATATATATATATATATATGTATATATATATATGTATATATATATATATATATATATATATATATATATATATGTGTGTGTGTGTGTGTGTGTGTGTGTGTGTGTGTGTGTGTGTGTATATATATACATAAATATATATATATATATATATATATATATATATATATATATATATATATATATATATATATATGTGTGTGTGTGTGTGTGTGTGTGTGTATGTGTATGTGTATGTGTATGTGTATGTGTATGTG